AGTTGAGCGCAGTGGGCTTCTGCTACCTGTTGTGTTTGCAGCTTTTCGACTACGTGTTGTGTTAGATCGCACCTTTGCTGCTACATTAAGACGAGTGTGAAGGTAGTGGTGGTACATGGTTGTGGTTCGAATCGATATTCGCTCCTCTGATCGATCGGACGTCTAAAAACTGGATGAATGCCATTCTTCGTTCATAACATGATCAATTTGATTTCCCTTTGTTTGATCGGAAAAAGCCAAGTTGTCGTATGTGCTTGAATCTGGTGCTGCTAACTACCATTTTTTTATTAATTTCTTTTTTTTTTGCCGACGGCGGACCAAAATTATTTTCCTTTCCGATTTTTGCATTAAAATATCCTAGCAAAATGTTAATGTCATGGCCAGGGCAGCGGTCATATGCAGTTTCTAGGCGCTCTTAAAAAATGGTCTGTTCATCTTTGTCTTCCGTCGGAGCATGGACGCAAATAAGACTGATGCAGAAGAACTTCGCCTTTATTCGTATTATGAAAATTCGCTCATCTACTGGAGTGAATCTGGAGACGAGGTCTTTTATTCTCCCGTTAACCATAAATCTTTTATTATCCTATTAACCATAAATTATTGTCAATTAACCATAAATCTGCAGCCAAATTCACGTCTCGTTTCATGGCAGCTATAATACGGGGCGTAATCATCTGATTTACTTACGCCAGAACCTTCCATCGCATTTCCTGTAAGGCAATAATATCGGCTTCGTACTTCTTGAGTACAGCGCACATTTCAAGTGCAGATTCGCAGATCGTGGTCCTTTATACGTTGCGGGGGTCGACAACATTAGGAGAGTTTGGTTTACTTTTTTGTTGTTGTTTTTTCATAATAGAATAGGGGTTTTCCGAGTGTGGGCAACTAACCCGACAACCCATTTTATTATACCCTATATGGTATATTATTATACCATAGTATGGTATATTAATTTTGTCATTCCGTTTGTAACACATCGAAATAGTCATTTCCTACCCTTGATCAGGGTAACATTATAACACGATCTAGCCATGTCCGTCGTCTGTTGTAATCTTCTGAAGGAATTGAGATAGGGTTCTGAAATTTTGCATAAAGTTGTCTTTTGTCTGCAGGCAGGTAAAGTTCGAAGATGGGATATATCGGTTCACGTTTAGGCATAGCTCCCATAGCAAATCTCCCTACTAACAATTATAAATATAGTCATTTTTTTCTGGTACCCCCCTCCCCCTCCCATATAACGGTTCCCCTCAATTTTCGGTATTTTGGGGTTCTTGAGTGCGTTTTTCAACCGAATTCGCTGAAATTTGCTACATTGGGTTCCTATTGGGTAGTAAATGTCTCCACAAAAAATTATTAATATAGGTAAACTTTTTCTAGTAGTCCCCATATAACGGTACCTCCTAATTTTCAGTATTTTGGTGGTTTTGATCGTATTTTTCCGCCGAATTAGATGTAAGTATTTTGAGTTCTCAATAGGTACCAAATCTCCCCACAAAAATTTATGAATATAGGTCCATTTGTTCGGATATCCCTCATATAAGGGTACCCCCAATTTTCGGTATTTTGGGGTACTTGAGAGCGTTTTTTACCTGCAATTTGGTATTTTGTAGTCGTATATGGTAGCAAATCTCATTACCAAAAATTATTAATATTCGCCACCTTTTTGGGGTAGTCCCCATATAACCCCCTTTTTATACCCTTCACCGCTCTGTGGTACAGGGTATTATGTCTTTGTGCATTTGTTTGTAACAGGCAAAAGGAAACGAGATAGACACATGGTTCCTTTTGAGAATATGCATGCGATTTGAATGAAATTTGGCACAGGTCACTTATTTGGCCCAAGGACGAACCCTATTGAAATTGGGAAAAATCGGTTCAGATTTAGATATAGCTCCCACATATATATATTTAACCGATTTAATGTAAACGGTCCCTATATATTATTCGATTTGCACGAAATTTGGTACAGCCTAATCATTTAGGTCTAGAATGATGTGTGCCAAGTTTCGTGAAAATCGGTCCAGATTTAGATATAGCTCCCATATATAGTTTCGTCCGATTTCATGTAAATGGTACACCAATGTCGCTATATATCTTTCGATTTGCACGAAATTTGGCATAACGTACTGAATTGAGCATAGAAAGATGTCTGCCAAGTTTCGAGAAAATCGGTCCAGATTTCTATATAGCTCCCATATATAGTTTCGTCCGATTTCATGTAAATGATGCACCAAAGTCGCTATATATCTTTCGATTTGCACGAAATTTGGCATAACGTACTGAATTGAGCCTAGAATGATGTCTGCCAAGTTTCGAGAAAATCGGTCCAGATTTAGATATAGCTCCCATATATAGTTTCGTCCGATTTCATGTAAATGGTGCACCAAAGTCGCTATATATCTTTCGATTTGCACGAAATTTGGCATAACGTACTGAATTGAGTCTAGAATGATGTCTGCCAAGTTTCGTGAAAATCGGTCAAGATTTAGATATAGCTCCCATATATAGTTTCGTCCGATTTCATGTAAATGGTGCACCAAAGTCCCTATATATTTTTCGATTTGTACGAAATTTGGCATAACGTATTGAATTGAGCCTAGAATGATGTCTGCCAAGTTCCAGATTTAGATATAGCTCCCTTTTATTATAGATTGATTATAAGTAATTGACGCACCAAGGATCCAATAGGCTGATAGGAACAAAACGTTCTGAAATTAGTATAACCTAACCTGTGACAAGTTTGTTTGAAATCGCTTAATATTTGGATAGAGCTTCCATATATATTTTCGCCCGATTTCAAGTAAATTGTACATCAAACTCCTCATGTTAGTCAGATTGACATCAAAGTTTGCACAACTTACAAAATTGAGCATAGAATTACGTAGTTGCGTTTTCTAGAAGTACAGGCATATCCCAACGGATGACCTATTTATATTTGTTTGAAGTCGATTTACATACTTTATGGATAGATCTAGGTAGATTCATATTTAGATAAATATCACATATTTTATTTCATCCAATTTTTAATAGTCCTGTTTAATATACCCATAGTGGTGAAGGGTATCATATAGTCGACCCTGTCCGACTTTACTACTTTCCTTACTGGTTTATATTAAAATAGTTATCAGATTTGTTCCGCGTTTTGAGTTTGGTTCTAAGACTCTGTTGTAATCATTTTTTCTGCGGAGGATAGCGAGATACAAAATTATAACGTAAGGTTCGATAATGAACTATAGTAAGGGTCAATAATGAACTATATATATAATCTGAGATCACACCTGCCTCTGTATTATTGATTGTTAGAAAAACAACCAACATATGAAAGCTAATTGTGCCACACACGTGCACACATAATATAGAACATCTTTAATGTTTATAATTTCAAAGTATTTTCATGAAAGTAGGGCTATTTCGACCCAATTATTTTTCTTAAAAAAAAAAGCAATGACCACCACCACAGTTGAGTGATGGAGGGAGGATGTATGTGTGGTTGTTTTCATTTGTTTTGATTAATAATAGTTTTGACAGGCTTTAAAACATTTTCCCGTAGCCCAGATAAATCTGTGTTAGGTTTTAATCTTAAAATATACAAACCCCGAATTGGATAAGCCCACCTACAAAGAAAAGAAAAAGAAGAAGGCAAAAAGGGGAGGACAAAGAAACAAATCCATCATAAGTTACGGTAGCTTCTTGCAATCGATCTTCCATCTATCTTCCTCCTCCATGGGATATGGCGCTTCATGGATTTTATTTATTTTGTCTGTCCAATAGATAGCGTGCCAGACGTATTCAATATTACAATTCAAAGTGGAAGAAGCGTAAAAGAAAATACGTTTTCGAAGGCACGAGAGACAAGGCAGCGAAAAAGAAACAACAGGTAAATTATAAAATTTGTTGTGCATTTTTAATTACACTTGAACATGTATTTACTGCGAGCATTGTTCGACTTGGGGACTGCTGCTAGTTTTTCGCATCAATTATTTTGCAGACTAAAAGACCAAAAATATTTGGCCAACATAAACAGAAACAACATCGAACAATAGTTTTGCCCAACATATTTAAATTGTGAGTTGGCATCACAAGTTTCGACGCTTCTCTTTAATTAGAATTATGTAATAATGATTATAGGCTTGGGAAATGCGTTCCAAATGAATGCCACTACTGACATGATAACATGTTTACAAAGATTTTCCGAAAGATTTTTTTTTTTCAATAAAACCCCATAACGCCTCCTTGTGAATGAAATCAATCATTGCCTTAGACATGTTATTGGAAATCGTTTTGGGGTGGACATTAATTTAGTTGAAACGTTTCCTTAATTGGAAATATTTTTCAAATCACTCAAAACCGATGAATATGTGTGGGGTTTGAAAAGAATTTGAAAGTTAATTATAATTCTAAGTGAAAGTCTGTTTTCCAAAATGTTCCCATGAAGTTTTTAATTAACCTGTTCGTGTCTTAAGTCCTTTGTTTGATTTGACTAATTTCCAAGAAAATCTGTGTTATTAGAAATTATTAAATGTCTTAATGCCCTTCGTTTTGGGAAATTATCCAATTATTATTTATAATCAATGGAATTAAGAAAGAGATTGATCTCCATCAAAAATAATTACTGTCAAGTATGTGTCTTACGTCTTTTGATTTTCTCATAACTGTGGTGGGATAAGCGTAACCTATAATCGAAATGAAATGTTTTATTTTTTTCTTTTCTGAACAGTGGGAACAATTATCAAAGATATATAAAATATAACCGAATGGCACTCCATTAGACAACACCTAAAATATTTATTTATGTCTTAAAAACAATACTAAAAATAAATTTAAAGCCGATTTTGTACAAGTTGTAACAAATATCCCATATTGCTGGAACTTGTACTTGCAGCGGTTTTGATCAGTTTTTTAGTTTTTCAATAGAATAAAAGAACATTCATTTTTAGTAAATATTAACATAAATTAATTTATTTGTTACTTAAAGTCTAAATGTGTTTTTTTTTGGTATTTTAAATGACTATTTCTAATTTATCTCCATACAAAGCTCTCATCTGGGGTTTCAGATTGTTCTTCGGTTGGGCGCCTGTTGTCTGCAGCAAATCCAAATCGTCTTTCATGGATCGTGTCGTTTGTACATATTTCGATGAGTGTAAATTTTTGGTATTCGTTTTAAGGGGTCCCTTATATCTGTAAGAAAAATGAATATGAAAAAATATTTAATAATATTTTTCAGATCAAGATAAAAATATAAAAAATAAGGACCAAAAGTGCATTTTGAATTTTCGTAGGCTTACATCTTCATTCTCGGTTTATTTTTAAAAAATAAATATTTAAGGAATTCGATTTCAAATTTGAACAGTAATTAAAACAAGTGAAAAAGCGTTAAGTTCGGCCGGGCCGAACTGTGGCTACCCAACACCAAAGATATACTGAAAGGTACTTGAAATGAAAATGTAGGGAACATACCGAAAAGTGGACATATAAAGACTTTCTACAAACCGATTATGTAAACCATAATGTGCACCAAATACTTTATGGTGGAAGCTGCTGTTTCAATATGAAAATTGGTATTGCAGAAAAAAATTGTATGAGTACGTCCCTGGAGGCTATAACGTAAGTGGGACCGCTTACCGAATTACCGAACATTTGTAGTTATAATTATATGAGGTGCTATGCCTAATTGAGGACTGATATAACTCTATTTCGAAACTAACATTTTTGCATCAGAATACATTTCTTTACGCTAAATATTAAAAATACCCAAAATCGGTAGGTATCATTATATGGGGGTTAGGCCTAAATGCGGGCTATAGTTCATTATCGAACCTTATGTTCTAGTTTTTTATCTCGACATCCTCCGAAGGTGAAATATTTTTCACAGAGTCCTAGAACCAAACCTCAAACGCGGAACAAAGCAGATAACTATTTTAATATAAACAAGTGAAAAAAGCGTTAAGTTTGGCCGGGAAACATTTGGTAAATTCCTCAAAATACTGCAATTTAGAGGGCAAAGCTATATGAGGCATACCTAAAGCGTGACCAATATTGACAACATTCTCTAGGAATTAGCGAATATTTGGCGTTTTTATAATATGAAGGGTTATGCCTAATTAAGAACTTCAATTTTGAAGATAATATTAACAACGATCACCACACTGTGGTTCATAACAACCTGTACCACAGTGCATTTGTTTGTTACAGGCAAAAGAAAATGATATAGACACATGTTTCCTGTTGAGAATATTCATATAATCACTTTCGGAGTCGATTTTTGCATGTCCGTTCGTCTGTCTGCCCTTGTTAAATTGAAAACAAAGTACAGGTCGCATTTATGATCCAAATTGGATAAATTTGGCACAGCTCATTTATTTGGCCTTAGGACAATCGGTTCAGATTTAGATATAGCTCCCATATATAGTTTCGTTCGATTTTAGGTCAATAGTGCACCAAAGACCCAAATTTAAGCCGATTCGTTTTATATTTATATCCTCCAAAGGAAAAATGATTACAACAGATGGATAAATCGACTAAATCGTTTTACAATTATTAATAATTTTTGGTACGAATATTTGTAACCATATACGACTACAAAATACCAAAATATAGTGTATTCGGTTGAGAACCGCGCTCAAGAACCCCAAAATACCGAAAATTGGAGGGTATCCTTATATGGGAGTTACCCGAAAAATGGAATATGGGAGCTATCCTAAATATGGAACGATATAGCCCATCTTCGAACTTGACCTGCCTGCAGACAAAATACTATATGCAAAATTTTGCCGATCTATCTCAATTCGTTTAGAGGATAGATTGATTTCAACAGACAGACAGGCGGACATGGCTGATCAAGAATATATACATACATTATATAGGGTCGGAAATGATTATTTCGATGAGTTGCAAACGGAAAAACCAACTTAATTTACCCTCCAAAAAACGTGGTTTCATAGACTTTAAATTTCAAACGACAATAACTTATTTTGCTCTCTAACGGATTTCTATTATTCTCATTCTTTTCAAACAATAGATATATTTGGTAAATAGGTTGAGGTTTGGCTGAGTTACAATGGTTGAAAGGTGAAAACATATGCATAATTTATAAATGAATTTATAATATCAAGCCGTATACGTTTTATTATATTTTGGTATAAAAAATAAAATAAGCTTTTAAAAATGAGCAAAATTTTAAGTATTTAGTTTCTTATTTAGAAATATACTAAAATAAGTGAAATGTGCATATTTTCACATAGAAATTAACGAAGTGACCCACAAAAAACAAAGGTATTTTCGTGGTCCATCTCCATTAAAAAAGAATTGGTGTATTAGAACCCCTGAATAATTTTTTTTGTATCATAGTGTAATATTTGGTAGGGAGTTTTGCTACCAAATAGGAAATTACATTGAAATCCCAAAAACACCGACGAATATGTGGAACAGTAATATGGAGCTACCCAAAAACTTGGGTCAATATTAATATTAGAAACCATTTAGAACCCAGCATACCAATATACAGCCTATCCGATTGAAAAACTTGCGTAATATCCTCAACATCCGGATTTTATGGGGGCTACCCAAATAATTGACCTATATTGGTACTATTTAGAAGTGAGATTTTGTACTTAGTCGGGTAATAAATGTGCTTTATATGGGGGCTACACGAAAAACTAGATCAATATTTCTAATTTTTCATATGGAGATGCGGTATTCAATGATAACACAAAATGGTAAAAAAACGTGTTCAAATACTTAAAATACAGTAAATTTGGCGGCACCTCTATATTGAGCCTACCCCAAAACGTGGACATGGAACTTGACCTGCCAGCAGACAAAATACCATGCTATATAACATTGCAGCACCCTACCTCAATTACTTCAGAAGATAGTGTGATTACAACTGGCGGACCGAAGGACATAACTACACCTTTTTCACATGTTATTCAAAACATATCAAATGTAATTCGAGAATTCCATTTGTAATTCACAACATACAGTTTGCAATTCAAAAATTCCATTTGCAATTCATAACATATCAGTTGTAATTCGAGAATTTCATTTGTAATTAATAGAATACATTTCGAAATGCATAGAATTCCATTTGAAATTAATAAAATTTCATTTGAAATTTAAATAATTCTATATATGAGTTTGAAATGAATGTTATGAATTACAACTGAAATATTATGAATGACAAGTGAAATGTTATGAATTTCAAGTTGTATTCTTTGAATTGTAAACGCATTTCTTTGAATTTCAAATGAAACTCTACAACTTTCAAATGGAACTATACCAATTACAAATGATTTTTTTTTAAATTTCAAATGGAATTTTTTGAATTTCATATGAAAAGTTTAAAATTACAAATGAAAAATTGTGAACTACCAATTACATATTCGAATTACAAGTGAAATGTTATGAATTGAAAATTGAGTTTTCGAATTACAAACGAAATTCTCGAATTGCAATTAAAATGTTTTGAATGACATTTAAAAAAGGTGTAGAATTTTACACTGATTAAGAATATATACTTTATAGGGTCAGAAATTAATATTTTGATGAGTTACAAATGGAATGACAAAATTAATAGAACCTCCATACTATTGTGGAGGGTATAAAAATAAAAACCGAATCAGTCTGTGCAGCTCTAGTATTTTTAGTAGTCGGCATTTTATGATCATGACCGTTGTAAGTATTTAGTCATAGTCATATAATCTAAACATAGTAACAGGTAATAGAATTTTGGGGATCCGGGTTGTGACATATCGATCATTTTCAGTATGACCTGCATAATGATGCAGAATTCTTCGCTATATCAAACTTCATGGTGTATCTCATCAATAATATTGTCGAAGACACTATATACATAAAATGCAAGGATTTCAAGAAATCATAATTCAAAAATTATCAAAATTCTTGAAAAGGGGAAAAATTGCCCCCCCCTTTTTTAGGTTACCCCTGACGTAAACTTTCAAAACGAAGATACACGTGTCTTCTTTTTTTAGTCCCTCTTTCATAAACTGTTGGAATTTCCCGGTAATTATTTTTTTGTGTTGCACAGTGTTATTAACATGACTCCTGTCAATTGGTTACTTGTTACTATTTTCCGAACATTGGAACATTATGCTTACCCTACCTTGAATTCAATATAAACCATGTCTCCTTATCCTTCGTTGTATCTTCCTCCTCGTCTTCTTTACCACTTGCCGCCTCTTGATTCTCTGCGTTCTCATGTGTTGTTTCACTTTCATTGGACTGTCGATTTATTTCATTCTTCTTTTCTCTCTGTTTAAATATATTTCCCGATATTGGATAAATATTTTTATAATTTCCATAAAATCCCGCTGGCCACATTTGCAGTGGTTGATATTTTGGTGTGGGTTCCACTGTTGTAAATTCAGTTGGTCTTTCAAGATTTACATCGGCATTTTCATCTTCGTAGGTTATTCGAAATTTATCCTCACCATCATTATAGGTGACTTCGAGTTTTTTGTGAGGCAAAGATGTTGTGGAGGTGGGTGATTCTTCCAGATAGTGCCGATGATTGGCAAAGGGTTTTTCTAGGGTTAACGGTAATGATGTGGTGGTATCAAATGAGTGTTGGGATAGAATATCCTGAGGTGCAAAGAAGGCGGAGTATTTTTTCGATTTTTTGTAGGATTTTGTGGAGGGATATTGTGGAGTTAATGGAGGTCTGGCTGTGGTTGTGGTGGTTGGATTTATCGCCTCAAAGGCATAAAATGGTATCATGGAGACATTCAAAACTGGTGGTTGTGGTGTAAAGGGTGAGGTAAATTGTGTTTCCTTGTGCCTGTTTTTAACCATCATAGTTTTGGGTGGATGTAACGTCTGCCCTGGTACTGGTTCCTGCATGGGATATTTATATCGACTCATCATGGTATTGAACAGCATACGTCCCTTATTGCCCGTGTAAACGAACAGGGGTACGGGTCTATCAAAACTCTCCTGGCCGGGTATGGAATCAAATTTCGGAAGTTGAGGCATTGGTTTGAATTCTGGTATCCTTTGTCGATTGTGTGGTAGATAATTCCTTGGTAACTGTAAATTTGGTCTCGTATATAATGTTACACGTTTTTGGGCTTTGTAGGGGAAGTGGCGATTTGGCGGCGAATATGGTGAACGGCGTGAATTTTGACGATTTCGTACATAAATTGGTTTAATGTGATCGTATTTTAATTTTTCTTTGGGAGGCGATTTCAAAGGCACTGCCGCATCCTTGCGCTGTTCATCATTTAATACCCACAGCGGACTTTTCCGATTTAAATAAAATGTTCCACTTTGCAATGTTTTATAGGGTTTAGCACTTGTCATTGGTTTATAATTGTAATCCACATTATTATTTGTTATTTCAAACGACAGAGAGGCCCGAAATGATACCGCAAATAGCACCGAAATTATGGAAAATTTGTAAATCATTTTCTTTTTGTTTTTCGAGAAAAAAAATCGAGGTTTTATATTTTGGTTGTTTTCGTTTCACTTAACTTTTTGTAATTGAAACTAAAACGTATCACTGGCCACATATTTATAAAAATATTTTTTTTATTTTAATTTCAAGAACTGCGATTACTTTCATTGCAACTGGTTTTTTACATTACATTCATGTGTTGTAGGTCTAGCCTGATTCCAAGTTCAAAACACTTTCATTTGCAAGAATATTTGGTTTTACCTTCCCTTGTTGTTCGTTGGACAACAACAACAAAAACAACAACTTTAAGAAACCCATTAACATGGTTTTAATTTAAGTAGTCATGAAACTGGACTGTGTGAGCCCAAAACATTTGTTGGTGACCCTGTGACACCCAAATGGCAACCTCAAGAACAAAAGATTTAAGACACAAACTTGCTGTGCGACAGCAGACACAGAAAGAAAGAAATAAACTGAAAAGTTTCGACAGTTTTGAATTTATTTACTTTACAAAATGCCAATTAACAAGTGAAATGCAGTGAAAATTTATTATTGAAATTTGCCATGAATCTGCTTAAGGTCAAAGAATATGAGAATTTTTATTTTATCAATTAAATATATATATACTAGCGGGCCCGGCAAACGTTGTCTTGCCTTAGCAATATTGTTAAGGAATAATTTTCGATATTTTAGATTTGTTTTTTAATTTCTATTCATACTTGCATAAACATTTTTTTTGTGTATGAAATATCCATGAACATTTTTGGTATGGATAAACATTTTATATTTGATCGTTACATCAGAAGCAACAGAATATCAAGTTTCAGTTGGGTTGGGTCTAAAACACATCGACATTCACATAGAGTAACATTACAGTTCAGAGTATATACTTTTTGATGTTTATGACCAAAAAGGCATCGGCCCACTTTTTATGATAGCCCCCATATACCGTACTCCCCATTATTCCTTATTTTGGGGTGTTTGGTTCCGCGATAATTTATTATTTTAAATTCTCATATGGTAGCAAATCTTTCTTCCAAAAATTATGAATATTGGTTCACTTTTTAAGATATTCCCCATATAACGGTACCACCATTAGTTTTTAGGATTTTAGGCACATTTTTAACCAATTGATTAGATACTTTGTATTCTAATTGGGCAACAAATCTCCATACCAAAAGTTATCGATATCGGTCTACTTTTTTAGGATAGCTTCCACATAGTGGTACCCTCAGTCCCGAACGACTACTGGTATAAAAGTTTGGCCCGGTCGAACATAACGACGTTTTCACTTGTTATTAGATGTCGTCATTTTATATATCGGTAATTGATATATTGAGGTATTCGTAAAACATCGTCAGACTCTATGTTATAATATATGTTTTTGACGAAGGTTTTGGTATATCCTTCACATTAGATATTATGCCTATTATGCATTTGCTGGTTTACCGATGGTATCGGATATATGCGAGTTTTTGTGTTTATAAGTTCAAACATATTAACCACCGATTAGGCATTTAACCACGATATAATGGTACCACCTGATTTGATATTCGTGGCATAGCAAAATTTTAGGAACTTTAAGGAATAACATGTTCCTATTGAACTATTTTTGTTATCTAAAAAAAATCTAGAGCATGGATCTTAGAATCAAAATTCTATGAATGGATATAAACTCCATTCAGAATGTCTTCTAAATTGCATTTGTCCCAATATGTATATGCATTCTATACAATGATCGAGTGTGCATTCCATGACATATTTCTCAATTATTTTTTTGTATTTTTACAAAAATAATACTTTCAATATTCGTACAATGTCAATCCAATTTAAAAAAAAATAAAATATTTTGAAAATTTTCAATAATTGACAAATGAAGTCTTAAAGGAATGATACGCTACCCATTTTTGACCAAAATATCTCCAAATAAAACAACGACATGGTGCAATTAAAATGGCTCGATACTAAATTCGCGGAAATGTAAATATGCTTCATAATATATTTTGCAAATTTTTTGCGGTTTTCGACTTTTTCTCACCTTTTAAACCATCTCTGGAGCTCCAGGAATATTTCAAGACTACGATAAGAAAAGTTTGGTCAAAATCGGTGCAGTAGTTCTTGAATTATGGTGAAAAACCATAAAAAACTAAATATTGCGCCATCTGTCGGATGAACTTCAAACTACACAGAAACACTCCTCACGCCCCATAGAACATGTACATACAATTTAGTCCAAATTGGTGCAGTAGTTTTTGAGTTTAGCGATCACGAACATACATGTAATTTTTATATATATAGAGATAGAAATATATTATCACTTGTTCAGTGATTTTTACTAAAATTTGATGTAGAATATTTTCGTACTTTATGCCATCCTTGTAAAGCGACATCTAATGGAAACAATTGGCACAGATTGGGAATAAGATCGGTTTTAACCTTAAAATGAGTTTTCATATTTTTAAGATATTTGATGTTTAAGCTGATTTTAGAATTGTATTCTATTCTGATATTTATAGTAAAACTTTACGGCGAATATTTTTGTAGGATATTCTGATATGCTGCTATACCCTCGTTTTTAATGAATTTTCAATCATTTCTTTAATAGTGGACCGAGAATACCCCTTTAGAGAGTCGACAGAGGGTTAATGTATTAGACAAAAATATTTCTCACATTCTGAAGAAGTCTCTCATGGGGCTATTTCGGAATGGATGGTCCACATATTCGAAATTGAAAATATATTTTTTATAGGATCTAAAGTGGCGTTTGAGCATAGAATGAGGAAGATAATATAAACTCTAGTCTATGCTTGACTATTCCAATACAAACAAGTAAAAATGTTGTTTGGTCGGGTCGAACTTTAGCTACCCTCCATCATGTAGTGGGAAATATATATATTTTTTAAAGGATCGCGAACCTTATATATGATGTATGATGATGTATATCCCGAAAACAGGAGTGATGTTAAAAACATCAACCTAAGAAGTTTTTATTAATTTCTCTTTCGAGATGAGCTACATGATCAGAGTTGCAATGAAAAGGAAAGCCAGACAGGTACTCCATTCCTAACAAAATGTCACGCGTTTCGCCGTTGGTTAGATCCAACAACATTCGGCCAACATTTTTTCAAATTACAGGTATTTGGTAAAAGTGCGCATACAGGACCGAACTTAAATGTGAGGGCTATGTTCTAATACAGACCTAAGTAGTAAATGTGTTTTATCCTACAATAACCCGGAATACCAAATTAATAATACCGAAAATGGGGCAATACTTTTATATGGAGTCTATGTCCAAACCTTGACCTAAATTTATAATTTTCTGGATATTTTTCAACCTTAAAAACCCGGTAATATAAAATTACAGAACCATGGTGGGAAAATGTAATTAAGACCTTCAAAATACCGAAGATGGGGTGGTACCGTTATAGGTACCGAAAAATTACCAAAAATTTCCAAAATACCATTATATACCAGAACGTGGGCCTATACCAAAACGTGGACCGATAAATCCCATTTACAATACCAAACATCAAAGGAGTAATAACAATGTATATGCAAAATTTGAAAGTTTACCTTGAATATTGCGAGCTCTATCGCGATTTCAAAGATTGTCTTTGGTTACCAAACTAACGCCCAATATAAATAGCGCCCACACAAAGGGTACCAAATACAAAGTACAAGGTCCTATCCCAATTTTCGAACCTGAATATAGTCCCGATTTAATTTTAATTTTCCTCCGCTATAGTCAGGTGAGGTTAAGGGAACCCACCCATTCTTGATTTGATATTTCGACGATTTTCGGCTGGTAAACGAAGGTGCATAGTATTGAGAACTTGTAACTTGTGATTTGTATTTTTATACCCCCCACCATAGTATGGAGGGTATATTAATTTTGTCATTCCGTTTGTAACTCAACGAAATATTCATTTCCGACCCTATAAAGTATATATATTCTTGATCAGGCTAAAATTCTAAGACGATCTAGCCATGTCCGTCCGTCTGCCCGCCCGTCTGTTGTAATCACGCTATCTTCCGAAGGAATTTAGATAGGGTGCTGAAAATTTGCATAAGGTTGTCTTTTGTCTGCAGGCAGGTCAAGTTCGAAGATGGGATATATCGGTCCACGTTTAGGCATAGCTCCCATATAACGGTACCCCCAAATTTTCGGTATTTTGGAGTTCTTGAGCGCGTTTTTCAATCGAATTCGCTGAAATTTGGTACATTGGGTTCTTATTGGGTACTAAATTATAAATATAGGTCCACTTTTTCTGGTAGCCCCCATACAACGGTACCTCCTAATTTTCAGTATTTTGGGGGGTTTGGTCGTATTTTTGCACCGAATTGACTGTAATTTAGTACTTTGAGTTCTAAAAAGGTTCCCAATCACTCCACAAAAAATTATGAATATAGGTATATTTTTTCTAGTAGCTCCCCCCACCCCCCCCCCCCCATATAAGAGTACCCCCCAATTTTCGGTATTTTGGGGTTCTTGAGCGCGTTTTTCAACCGAATTCGCTGAAATTTGGTATATTGGGTTCTTATTGGGTACTAAATGTCGCCACAAAAAATTATAAATATAGGTCCACTTTTTCTGGTAGCACCAATATAACGGTACCTCCTAATTTTCAGTATTTTGGGGGTTTTGGTCGTATTTTTCCACCGAATTGGCTGTAATTTAGGACTTTGAGTTCTAAATAGGTTCCAAATCACTCCACAAAAAATTATGAATATAGGTCCATTTTTTTCTGGTAGCCCCCCATATAAGGGTACCCCAATTTTCGGTATTTTGGGTTCTTGAGCGCGTTTTCAACCGAATTCGCTGAAATTTGGTATATTGGGTTCTTATTGGGTACCAACTATCTCCACTAAAAATTATAAATATAAATCCATTTTTTTCTGGTAGCCC